AAGAATCTCCAGGGTCTGGTTTATATCCATAAACTGCACGCTCTGGAATATTTGATTTCACTGGATAAAACTGAGACCAGATGTTTCAGGTTTTTCATCACACGCCTGAAATTTGCATGGTAAACTGTGACACTTAGATTTCATTCATTCAGCATTCAGATTTGTGGCATCATTATTTTATTTGCCTCTCCTTTTTTGAAACTCAGTTGTTAAAGGATCTGACATCAGCCTCTTTAAAACAGAAATCTGTATGCTCACTGTTGCCCCCTGTAGCAATGAGAGGTCATTTGAATAGAAGTACATTGTTTATGTAACACACATGACCTTTGCAAAAATTAAAAACTATGCCTGCTACTGAGGTACAACACTCGTGTTTCATTTTTCAGCTTTGATTTAAGGCATATAACTGATCATTATGGATTAAATGGAACCTTATTGTATTGCAGTGGCTTTACACAGCCGATGCTGTCATGAGGGTAACGTCAGCAGCCAGGCACTGAGCAGGCATCACAACTGGCCCACTGAGCTTAATGCGCTTTGAAACCACAGTACTCAGTGAGTGAGTGAGCAGCACCCTCTGTGGTCTGCTATCTCCTGACTGACTCATCAACACATCTGGGCCTAAGTATATGGGGCTCTCCTGCCCCACGGGTACTTGGGAAAATGAGGGATAATTAGCTTTAGTTGACTTTAATGAATGGCTTAATGTTGTGTTTCATTTCTGATGAGAAAAATATAAAGCTCAGCGCTTATCAAAGAGAGGCCCGCACCGATGTTTCTCAAAGCTTGCTGCTGGTGTGGGTCTGTTTGTTTTTGTATTTGTTGTGTGCATGGGGGCGAGGCAAAGTGAGCTGAAGATAGCTGCAGCACATGAGGGAGTGGTTTCATATGTGACCGCTGATCCAAAGCTTAGGAAACCTACTGAGATATACAGCAGCAAATCCATCATTCTAGCTGGGACGTTACTACAGTACAGATGTGTTTGCCTTTACTCAAAGACATACCACTCCCCTTTGATTTTCATGCCTTATATCATGATGAGATCTTTATAAACAATTTGATCCATCTTACAATATAAAGCAGGAAGTGTCTCGCAAAGTTATGATAGCCATCCATCCCTTGTAGTTCAATAAGTGCATTGAATTGCAGTGATGAAATTAATCATTCTCAAAAGACACAGGATGCAGCATATATTTACTGTTCTGTTCAATCTTTAATACCAAGCTGCTCTCAAACACTTCATATATAACTGTCACTGCTATTTCCTTGTATTGACACTGATGCATCACCTGTCACTGCAGCTCAGTATATAGTTCATTTTACTGTAGCCCAGTGGTGGGCCGTCCGGTGCCAGCAAGGCCTTCTCTGCTGGCCTAAACACTATCAGAAGCACTGACCTACATTTACAACCTAAATTATAATATTTGTTCCATGAAATTGTACTAATTTATTCCCAATAGTCTATTCTCTTCATTTTGTAGTGTTTCTCTTGGCTGCACTGCTTCCAGTACGTGTATGTGGATGTTAGATTTTTTGTCCAATCAGATTTCAGCCTCTATGTGTTGCCATGTCAATCTAATCTGCCCAGGGCCTTCAGAATCAGAAGTGCTGGCCCATGTAACTTAAACTATGTTAGCAATGGGACTGTTTCTTTAACCAATCAGATTTCAAATTCACCTCACAGGGCCAGCTAGCTGCCCTACAATAACGTCAGTATTTTTCCGTCCTCTGATTGGTTGGTCAGAGCAAAACTAGAAAAGAACTTACTGATTGAACTGAAACACAGAGATCACCTCTATGAGGATGGATTTTGTCTATAAATAAATAGCATCTCTGGTGACTGATGTATTTAATTAAAATTTTGTATGTTTTTGTCATGTTATTAGATAAATATTGATTCTGAACTGCTCCAGATGATGTATGTGGCACAGTTGCGGTTGTAGTGTAGAGGTTTTGGAGTTGTCTTAACTGGGTTTCTTGCTTTAGTAAAAATGGTATTCACCCTCAATACACGAAATACCTCTTTCTCTGTAATGCCACACTTTGTTATATTGCGTTTTTGTGTGGTATCGATGGTTTCTATAATTGCACTTTTAAAAGTGCTGTCATACTGTCATACATGGATAAAGGCAGGAAAAGCACAACTTGCAGTGGAGGCAACCTCTTTACACTGCTATTAAATAAATACTTGGAAAACCTTTTTTTTTTAATCTGAGGAGGTGAATCTGCATTTCCAGGGGCTGTTCAATCTGGGCCTCAGGTGGGGGCAGGATTTATGTGGCTCAGCCCCTTTGGGTCTTCAAGAACAACCCCTCTAAATTATAGCATCCCACCGCACTTTATGGGGAGGAATAAACTGGCTGTTAATACAGCTATTGGGGAGTGTACAATAAGGCGTGCTAAGAGAAAAGGGGCTTTCTATACTGCTGTGGGGTAAGGTAGAGCAGGGAAGGATGGATGAGGGTTTCTGCAAACACTTTGTGTCAGCACTGTAAACACACTGGCACACCTTATGCAATCCATCCATAGTATACGGTATGATGTAGTTTGCTATTTTGATACTGTATTTGAAGTCTAGTTTCTAAAACTGTTTCAAAACCAAATACACAACAGTAAAAGTGTAAGGTAATGATTAAACATTGCATTTTTCTTCCCCAGCATAAGCTGCGTTAACCAACTGTTACTTCCAAGACCAAGGAGCTTATGGTTAACAAGCTACATTAGTTTGTGGGGTTACATGTTCTGTCAAAAAAGCTCTGTTCACAACTACTCTTGTATAGTATTTTTCCACTGTGCGGAGCAGCTCTGCCCTGAAGCGCACAAGTCAAATAACAATTCCATTTCCATGTCTTCCAAATAGATTGGGAACTAATGACTTAGCTGCATTATTAAAGGTAGGGCTGGCAATCCTGGAAAACCAGCAAGAAGATGCTCAATTTTGAAAGTAAACAACAGAAGAAATCTCACCCTTTCATTTTGACTTCTCTCCAAAGTCACACCTCCAAAACTCCACACATATTTAGCTGTCCAGTAGAAATATGGCCACCATGGTATCACTTTTCATCCCTCTTTGTTCTCTCAGCTGTTGTTATTGTTCAAAAGCCACACGAATGTTATTTCTGATCTTACTTCTTATTGTATCCAGCTTCTTTTTATTTGCTGCGTTCTCTAATCTGGTGTTACTTGCCCAGATCTGCGGCCCCAGACCGTAGCTGGGGGCCTTTAGTTCACAGCTAAGCTACTTTAGCCCTGGCTCGTAGCCCGTAACTAGCCTTAGAAGTCCAGGCTTTTCTGGTGGGGAGAAGTGAAGAGGGAGGCCAGCTAATACCATTCCAAACAGGTTTTACGTTGTCTTGGTAACACGACCAGTTAACTGAATTACAATCCTATCTATACACTTAGAGCTGACTATTACATATATCCATAGCTGTGTGTGAAATGAGACCATTCCATTAGGCAGTCTTCTCGCTCTCATACTACAGGCAGGTAGCAATGTCTGACAACAACAATATTACCTATAAGGCTGTATGTCTTAAAGAGGAAGGCCTTTTCTGTAAATTGGGGAGGAAAGCTGCTGTGGGTACCTTCTCTGCCACAGCTTTCAGCTTTAGCTACCAAAACAGAATGGTGACACATCTGCCTACAACTGCAACTCCTTGTGACAGACTCTTGGCTCGGCATTGAGTGCACGGGTAGCGTAGGAAGTTAGGTTGACAGGCAGGTAGGCCATCCAATGGTTTGCTTGAGACAAGTAAAGTTATTGGTCAGACTTTTTTCAGCCCAACTGCTGCCACAGTGCATTTAATGTATTCGTTGCCATCAGGATGAAAAGGGAATTTCAAAATATAACAAAAGTGCTTCTGAAGAGAACTGTCAACCCTACCTTTAAGCTAATATCTGCCTGTGACCATTGTAATTTCAGTCAGCAAAATCCAAATTCATCTGCTAGAAATGACAAGCCTGTGTTTGCTACCTTTGTATAAAATCTGAAACACATTGTTTCACCAAAACAAACACCAAACAAACAAATAAAAATTCTGAGTGGTAAATCTGCCACTGGTAATGGAACCTTTCTATGTGCCATGGAAGGCTTGACAGATGAAGCAACAGCACCGAAGGCGGGGTGTTAAGGCTATATTAAAACAGAACAAGGTGACCATTGCCACTGTGCATGTAAACAACTAAGTCTGTTTGTGCATGAGTGTGTGCAAGCTCATCTACATGCACACACTCTTTATTTTCTAATTCCACAGGAGGAAAATGTCCATCTTTACATCTCATTTCTGCAAGTCCTTCTATCTCCCTTTCTCTTTGCTGGGAAACTCCATAAGAAAATCCCTCACATGTTTGAACATGGAGCACAACTATTCCAAAATGGGACCAGACCCTAATGAGCAGGGAGCCCCTTAAGCCAGATAGGCTTAGACACCAAAACAGAGACAGGGGCCATCAGGATCATGTCGCAATGCCTGTGATGATGATAGTGATGAGGGAATCAAGTCTGGCCGGCACCTTTTATTTTCTTTGATTGTTTTATTAACCCTGTAAGGACGTTATTGTTATTCAGTCTGCTCTAATGATCCGACAGCCTTTTTTTTTGCTAAAAATAGTTCATTCGTTCACAGCGGAAGAGTAGGGGGTGAGGGGGGTGGTGTTTGATGTGCTCACAGAGCTCCTGTTCCATGGGGAGAGAGGTAAAGCCAATTCAGGAAGGGCTTGATCCTCTCTAAGGCCTGTGTTACATCAAACACTTGTCAAACACCACCAGCAGATGGACAGCTGAGCGGCTCTGACAGATCTGATCACAGAAACAGGCAACAAGAGTCTCTACAACTTAACTCCTGAGTCCAGATACCGCTGTCCCTATCTTGTCAGTAATCCAGCCCTTTAACTCACTAAAACACAAACAGAAGGCTTTGAGGCATATGGCAGACATTTTCTTGTTGTTGTTAGCTGTATATGATTACAGTGCAATTTCACCGGCCATTTCAGGGTCTCACCTTGCCGAGAAGAGGTTTGTGTACTCCAGAGGGCAGCAGAATCTGTCAGAGATGCAGCAGGGGAAGGAGAAAAGAGTCAATTCAAAGGGAAACCTGAGCCACTAATCCAAAAAAACTGTCTCAAGGCCTGCCAGGATCATGGTGCTGAACCTTGCCACCCAGCAGGAAGAAGCACTTATGTCTGAAGGGATTTGATATGGTACTTGAAATGAGTTGAGTTTCATGACAACTACTCAATCATGTCTTGAGATACCTTATTTCCTTGAGGAGTCATTGGGTTCTATGGTTCTGTGTTTTTTTAGAATATATAACTACATATACAGTGCCTTGCGAAAGTATTCGGCCCCCTTGAACTTTGCGACCTTTTGACACATTTCAGGCTTCAAACATAAAGATATAAAACTGTAATTTTTTGTGAAGAATCAACAACAAGTGGGACACAATCATGAAGTGGAACGAAATTTATTAGATATTTCAAACTTTTTTAACAAATAAAAAACTGAATAATTGGGCGTGCAAAATTATTCAGCCCCTTTACTTTCAGTGCAGCAAACTCTCTCCAGAAGTTCAGTGAGGATCTCTGAATGATCCAATGTTGACCTAAATGACTAATGATGATAAATAGAATCCACCTGTGTGTAATCAAGTCTCCGTATAAATGCACCTGCACTGTGATAGTCTCAGAGGTCTGTTTAAAGCGCAGAGAGCATCATGAAGAACAAGGAACACACCAGGCAGGTCCGAGATACTGTTGTGGAGAAGTTTAAAGCCGGATTTGGATACAAAAAGATTTCCCAAGCTTTAAACATCCCAAGGAGCACTGTGCAAGCGATAATATTGAAATGGAAGGAGTATCAGACCACTGCAAATCTACCAAGACCTGGCCGTCCCTCTAAACTTTCAGCTCATACAAGGAGAAGACTGATCAGAGATGCAGCCAAGAGGCCCATGATCACTCTGGATGAACTGCAGAGATCTACAGCTGAGGTGGGAGACTCTGTCCATAGGACAACAATCAGTCGTATACTGCACAAATCTGGCCTTTATGGAAGAGTGGCAAGAAGAAAGCCATTTCTTAAAGATATCCATAAAAAGTGTCGTTTAAAGTTTGCCACAAGCCACCTGGGAGACGCACCAAACATGTGGAAGAAGGTGCTCTGGTCAGATGAAACCAAAATCGAACTTTTTGGCAACAATGCAAAACGTTATGTTTGGCGTAAAAGCAACACAGCTCATCACCCTGAACACACCATCCCCATTGTCAAACATGGTGGTGGCAGCATCCTGGTTTGGGCCTGCTTTTCTTCAGCAGGGACAGGGAAGATGGTTAAAATTGATGGGAAGATGGATGGAGCCAAATACAGGACCATTCTGGAAGGAAACCTGATGGAGTCTGCAAAAGACCTGAGACTGGGATGGAGATTTGTCTTCCAACAAGACAATGATCCAAAACATAAAGCAAAATCTACAATGGAATGGTTCCCAAATAAACATATCCAGGTGTTAGAATGGCCAAGTCAAAGTCCAGACCTGAATCCACTCGAGAATCTGTGGAAAGAACTGAAAACTGCTGTTCACAAATGCTCTCCATCCAACCTCACTGAGCTCGAGCTGTTTTGCAAGGAGGCATGGGCAAAAATTTCAGTCTCTCGATGTGCAAAACTGATAGAGACATACCCCAAGTGACTTACAGCTGTAATCGCAGCAAAAGGTGGCGCTACCAAGTATTAACTTAAGGGGGCTGAATAATTTTGCACGGCCAATTTTTCAGTTTTTTATTTGTTAAAAAAGTTTGAAATATCCAATAAATTTCGTTCCACTTCATGATTGTGTCCCACTTGTTGTTGATTCTTCACAAAAAATTACAGTTTTATATCTTTATGTTTGAAGCCTGAAATGTGGCAAAAGGTTGCTAAGTTCAAGGGGGCCGAATACTTTCGCAAGGCACTGTATAATGTTGTATGAAAGCTATATTTGTATTATTAACACATTGTGTCATACAAGATTACATTTCAGTATTCATTATTTACATTTTAAATTCAACTAAAATTGTCTCAACATATTGGTTTATGTGTTTAGTAAATTTAGCTTCAATAACAAAAAATGAATGCCATCACATGCCACCAAAACAGCTTCACTGCAACTTGGCATTGATCCTATACATCTCTGAACTCCACTGAGGGATGGGCACCATTCTTCCAAAAGATATTCCCTCATTTGGTGTCTTGGTGATGGTGGTGGCTGTCTAATACATTGCTCCAACATAGGTGTTCAAATGGGTTGAGATCTGGTGACTGTGAAGGTCATAGCACATGATGCACATCAATTTCATACTCATCACACTATTCAGTAACCCTTTGGGGGCATTGTTATCCTGAAGAGACCACACATTTATTCAGGGTTTTCCTTTAATTTATCACCTGCCCTGGCCTCTACTTACTACTATAATGGCTCTGTTTTAGTCTGTATCACCCTTCTATTTGTCCCTGTTAGTTCACACACTGAAAAACACCCAGCCACACAGATGTACACACAGCCAAGGGCCAGCAGACCTATACTTGTTGCTTTGTTGTGTCTGCATGTCTGTACTCTGGGTCCACACTTATATGGACATGAGTGGGCCAGAAGCCACAGCCTGTCTGTGAATCACCAGCTGTAATTAAAAGCTGTGATGTCTCCATAAGGATGCCCGCCAGAGATGGACAAGGAGGGTGGAAAGAGGAGAAGGGGAGTGGAGCACTGAGGAGAAGGGCTTCTGGTGGCTGAGCCAGTGCAACTGTGCACCAGATGTTTTCAGGCTTTCTGCTTTCCTTCTTTTCTCCTCCAGCCAGACCACTGGAGAGGGAAGACTCCAGTGCATGCAATGCTGCCTCGAACAATGCGCGCCATGCTAATACATTCCTCCTCTGTGGCATGCACATTGTTCCTCCAACAGCCACGCACTGTGATATGTGATATATAAGTGTCATTTGAGTGTGAGACAGGAAAATAAAATGGAAACATGGACGGGAAAATGAGTAGATAATTTGGTGACTTCAGCCTGTGAGGTCTGTTTTATTGTGTGTCAGTGTCTATTACGCATTTCTCACACTCTGGCTGTGTGTATTTGAGTGCGTGCCTGGATGTGTGCATCATCATCTTCATGGTGTGGTGGAGATGTGAAGATGAAAGCACTAGCAGTCCACAGGAGAGCAGCAGCAGCGCTGGACTGGAGGTCTGGCCGACAGAGAGAGGATGCGCAGGAATACAGCACAATGAGACAGATCCCACTATGACCAGCTCAGGTTATTTAAATATGAGGTGAGAAACCTTGACACAGGGGCCTGTTTGAAACTAAAGCTGGACTGATATTGGTATTAGATATTGCTGGAGTAGACTAAAGCAGAAAACAGATGCTAATTTGAGTCTGCATTTGATACTTTTAAATTTGACCATTTTCCTGCTCCAAATCCTTCAATATACAGTACTACACAGTTCTATGTTTTACTAGAATTTCACACCTATGAAGATGGGGGAGCCTCTGCCTGCCATTTGGACCATCATGGCACACCTCAAATTCACACTAATTACATTTTTAAAGCAGGGTGAATATCATTTCAGGCTTTCCAGATAGCTAGCCCTACAGCTGTTGTGTAAAACCTTTTAACACCTCACTTTTTCAATTTCTCTTGTTAGTCATTTGATAATAAAAAGAAATAATCAGAAGCTGTGATCAAGGGCAAACCAATGTCATATGACAAGTGGAAATATTTGGCTGGTAGCCATCATATATTTAATAAAAAACCCAGAAGAGCCCTATATACTGTGTGAGTCTGACCCTACTTTAAAGATATCATCACAAGCTATTGCCACACATCCCTGTAAAGATACAGACCGTGTCTTGACTGCTGTAAAAAATGTCAGGGTGTAGTAGCACAAACTGTCCGTCAAAGGAACATTCACTGAAGGTTAGTTTTATGGCCCTGACCGTGTCATGACCAATATCATCCCATATACTCCACAGCAGGGGGAAATAGCTCACATTTATTGGGCATGAGAACATGAAAACATTCTGCTTCTGTACAGTTTCTCCTCTGCTTCCTCCTCTTTTTCCCCCCTTAGTTTGCTGAAACTTTGTTTGTGTACATCTGTTTTTGATGGGGCTGTTGATGTCGGCCCATATGCCACACTTCCTCTACCAGAAGACAACAACAAAAGCCGTACAACCTCCTCTGTAACAATATATATAAGGATATCCAGATTTTCAAACTTCCAAGTGATTGATTTAGGTTATGATTTCATAAGCCTGTGCAGACTGTAGTCACCTGGTAAGTGTGCACCTCATCTTTTGGTGGCCAAATGTACTCTTCAACATCAAATTGTTGGTACATTCACTAGCTTAAATTTACACGATAACACTACTCCCAGTGCACACTTCAACAACAAAACAAGTAAAACAAATAAGAGGATGGCTGCGTCTAATGTGTGTAAATGAGTGTACCAAAGGGAGTTCAGCTAAATTACAACTCAACTGGGCCAGAGTGTGAAGAAAAAAAACTTCAATTGCACTCCTCCTCTTTCTTCCTGCTTGGACAATAATTTGGGGTAAGAAGTCCCAGTGAGTGCCACTGACCCCTCCTCTTCCACCTCCCTCCTTCCACCCCTCCACCCCCTTGTCTTTGAAAGGCTTCCACATGTTTATGGCTCATGCCTATGGTATGACGATGGATTCTCCATATAAAAGCCAGGAGGATCACGGGGTGTTTCAAATATTGCTCTCTGAAGACGCTTGCTGACAAAATGACAGCATCCATATTTATTTTGGTCAGAGGGCAGGGGCACTTAGAGGAAAGTTAATCAAAGACCCCCCTCCCACAAACCGCCAGACATGAACCTACTGTAGATAATCCATTTTCATCCAGTTAGGATAAGGTATGACACATAGACCCTGAGACTGAGAGAAAAAAGAATAAACTATGGCAGACACTTGCACATATGGGATAGCTGAAACAGAACTTGTGTTAATTTGTGACTTTGACCACAGCCGTGACCATAACTGCCAT